GACCAGATATCCAAAAACAATTAATTTGTAATTTGGCGGATATTGATAGGATTCCAAAAACTACAGTTTCTGATAGATGTTTATTGCCACTCGTGTTATATTTCGCCACCTTAGCTTTACGCTTCCCAAATCCAGATTGGATCGATTGTTGGCATGAGGTTTGTTCTAAGGCGAACTTTAATGAGCACGAATACAACCTGGGGACACTTCTGGAACTACACACTATACGTCAGTCAAAATCTGTCTTTGATTTTTTCTGGCATAATATATTCACTTTTACTATCTCACGTGCTGTATTGTATACTAATTTGAAACTATTTTCTCTAGATGATACTCAGTGTTCTATGAATGAATTCCTAAGCCACGCCTACTGTGAATGTCAATTATTACAACCACTGCCTCCACGGAATGATGAAAAACTAATTTACCTCCTTTCTTACTTTCCAGCATCTAATAATATTCCTGGACATGAAATCTTTATGTCTGTTGTTTACCAGCATTTTCTACCATTGGTATCCGATAACGATAGTGAATGCAGTAGTTGCTCAAGCATTAATCCTAATGTACTTATGACCTCTACAGTCCACGTGCTTCATCAATACCCTTTATTAAATCTTATTGTAAACTTTTCAGCTAAATTAGGTCTGAAATTTTTGAGCAATTTTCAGGACTGGCCACGTTCAATATCAACCGATTATAGAGTCAAGTTGCTCAATATACTAATTGCATGTTACGTTGAGTCTAGTCAGCATACCACAGTACCTAGAAATATCTCCCAGATACGGCCAATGAGACAAACTGGTAATGTTAGTTCTAGTTATTTAAACAATTCAGTGAATGATTGGCTGAATAAATGGTCGTCTGAGCCAAAACGTCTCTCACTATGGTCAAAAATTACAATACGCAAATGTCTCAGGTATTCCACGCAACATCGTTCTCTGCCTAAGCAACCTGTGAATGAACTTATTAGGAGCTTACCGTTGGCTCCAGTGCTCCAAGAGTATCTTCTAAATAATGAATACTTGAATTGATCTTGATTCTAGTCACTTTTGCAATCTAATCTTTAATTGTACACTCGTTTACAACACAAGCATCACTACGATCTTGAGTAAATACACATGTTACACCAAGTGCTAGTTGTGTAATATCATGTCAAGTAGGTGAAAGAAACCTTCATGAACAGTACTGCGGAAATATTTTTTTCGAATGGTATCAATTGTATTATTGTTATATAGCTAGATAAGTGGAATAAAATTTCAAGTAACATACTTGTTTTCTGATTGACAGAAGGATATCTCATCCGTAGACGATACTGGATACGGTCATAGTACGCTAAAATCTGAAAAAAATCACCGAACCTACAGCTGTCCTTCCGTTCCAGGAAATATTCAGGGCACTGGTTTAAATGCCTGCTAATAATCGAAAGAGTACGTCTCTTTAGAAACATTAGTTTGAACACCCTTGTGTGACAGATGATACAAAATAAAGGAACATGTGCTTCAACAAATTTATGTAAAAATTAAAGAATGTACATGGTTTATTCTACTTCGTCATCCAAATCGTCAGCTTCTTCTAAAGCCTGTTTGGCGAATGTCTCTGCTTCATCAAAGAGTTTGCGGGGGACAAGCTGATGTATACCTTTTGTATCTAAACGTATATACATCAACAAATCAAAGGACTTACTTGCACCGACCCAACTAAGATCCAGTTCAAAATTCTTATCTTTGATTTCATCATGAACGGTGTAAATTCTACAAAACAGGAAATCGTGATGGCGACTGACTCAACACCATAAAGCATGTTAAATAAGTAATCACTTGACTAATTTCAATCATAATGGTCGTGAACTTTTATTACACTTTTTTGTCTGTTATCATTATTTTTTTAATTTGGTATCTATTCGAATGGGCGAACGCTAATAAAGGTAATTATCGACAGGGAGAATAACATTTTCAATGGTGTAAAATATGTTGGATCTGTACTCTGTCTTACGATCAGTCAGATACGCTTTCTCATAAACGTATGATGAAAAGTCTACTTTCAAAGAATACCTGTGATTTTTAGGATTTGATAACAAACAGCCATTGTTATTTCCCTAGTCATGAACGACTAAGTGTTCGCAGTGAAAGTGTAATGATATACAAAGTAATTTTGTACTTAATTATTTTGAAATAAAATATTTGATTCGGCTACAAACATATTGCTGGAATTATTTGCTTGTATTAAGAAACCGTTTTCTTAGGCTGGAGTTGTGTCGAGAAGAAGGAGTCTGGATTTTTGTTTATGTCGCTTAATTTTAAAGACCAAAATAAGGTTGCATAATTATAGAAACGTAAAAAAATAAAACGAAATGTGTGAAAGAGTCATAGGTGTTTCAGAAAACAACCCCGTTCATTGTGCAGAAAGGAAGTTGAGCACGTTTGTACATTTTTCGGTCAAAGAAAACCTCATAGACTTGGCAACTCTTTCTAATTTTCTGATTCCTCTTTACTCCTTTTGTATCATCACTTCACTAATATATTTAGGCTGATCATTGACACGGTTTACTGTAATACTTAGTGGATATTATTTTGCTGACAGTCCGTGCATCATTCCAAACGGTAGGACAATTTTTTCGATCACAGCATATAGGTAAATCCTCTTTCAGGAAAGAAAATCTAGGCAACTATTATGCATCTTCAGCACAGCTATCATACGACAAACTGTAGAAGTCAATAACACACTGCAAGCTTCTGGAAGCACGTATATTGACCGACCAATCAGAAGCGGCGATAGGTAACAGTAGACTTATCAAGGAAACTTGTACTAGGAATCCCATTGTTAGTGAGACTATCCCGAAAAAGACGGGTCTGTTATTCATTCTGAACCCTGTAGATTGGATAGATGGACATAACATTTTAGGAAGCAGTTCAACTGTCGTTCACACACTCTTTGGTTACCCACGATCTGCAGTCAACCAGAATGGCAAATCGGTATAAGTCCTGCGAATCTTTATGAAGTTGAGAAAGCGAGGGAGAGCAGCAGGCCCTGATAGGTTAACTCCAAAGATTTTCAAGGATGGTGGTCCAGTTTTAACAGTTAGATTAACCGAGATCTTAGGTAGAATCTGGGAACTAGGCGTAATCCTATCTGACTGGCCTTAGTCGCTGATTGTCCCAATTTACAAGGAAAAGTTCTATTGTGACAATCACAGAGGAATCAGTCTAACTAATATAAAATCTAAAATATTGGCCTCAATAATAATACGACGCTAAACGAAAGCTAGTCAGAAGCAGACTAGAAAAACCGGGCTGGTTTTCGACCTGGACGTGGTTGTATAGACCAAATATTCACACTACGTAAGGTCCTGGAACATAGACACACACCCAGACGCCCCACAACAGTAGTATTTCCCGACCTTAAAGCGGCATTCGACTGTCTATCGTGAGGTTCTGTGGCAGTGTCTGTCGTTAAAAGGTATGCCAGAAAAGAACATTAACCTTATACAGGCTCTCTACTCGAACACCACTGGTCGAGTGAGAGCCTATGGTGAACTGTCATCTGAATTCTCTACATCAAATGTGTCCGTCAGGGCTGTCCACTCTCTCCATTCCTAATTAACTTTGTCGTAAAAGAATGCTTTTAGATTTAGCTTTATTTATGTCCAACTTTTTAGGAGTGAACCTTCTACTAGGAGAGACGCTTGCTGACTTACAGTATACTGATGACATAGTTCTATTTGGTGAAGACGCTGACAAAATACAGTCTTCTGACTACCCTAAGCGACAATGCAAGCATGTTCGGGATGCGGTTTTCTCCCTCGAAATGCCAAATGTTGCTTCAAGATTGGGTCGCATCGGTACCTGAACCAGTGATAAGGAGTGAAGTTGTTGAGCGTGTTGACCGCTTCACTTATCTGTGGAGTCTCATCAGTGCCGATGGCCTGGTGACTGACGAAATTTCAGCACAGATACAGAAAGCTTGACTGGCTTTTGCCAACCTTCATCATTTAAGGAGTAGGCGACATATCCGTTTACTAACGAACGGACGAGCGTACTGCGGAGCAGTTCGCTCTGGCCTACTATGTGGATACGAAACATGGTCGGTAAGATTAGAAGACATTCATAAGTCATTCATATTTGATTATAGATGTCTTCGAAGCATTGCCCGTATATTCAGGCACAACCGAGTAAGCAATGCTATAGTTAGGAATCGAGTACTAGGTAAGGATGGCAGATCAATAGATAAAGTATTGGAACTTCATCAGTTGAGGTGGTTGGGACATGTGTTACTAATGCCCAACCAGCAACTGCTCCGACGAGCGATGTTTTATGGTGTAGGAGTAGGTTGGAAGAAAACTGGGAGCGGCCAAACCAAAACGTGGCACAAATCTATGAAGTTACTGGCAACTGGAGTGAGCCATGTTGGTAGGTGTAGACTATCTGGTTGAGGCCCGCGAGACGATAGTAACAGATGATTAGAGACCTTGAATGACACGGCTCAAAATCGTTTGCAACCGCACAGATGCATCTACTCATTGTCTTCTCTCAAATTCTAATCTGAATTCCTTATCACCTTGGTCTTTCTATATTTATTTCACTGAATTACACTTCTTGAGTAATTTCTTCGAACCCTAATCTTCATTACCGTTAATACTCCTACTATCTCGACTACTACCGGATTTGAACTAACAAGTGCGTCTCCGTGCTAATGTGGTATGACAACCTGAACTTATATACGTACGTACAAAGTTCAATGTTGCAATTGACTGACTGATGATGCCATCATGTAATATAGAGAAGTCTTGGAAACTTACATCTTAGCTGCTTCCTTGATTAATTCTTCCGGAGATAGGTTGTTAATCTTCAGTTTCTCTATTTCAGTCGTTGCATTTTGTTTGGCTTTTCCGATGGCACAACCAAAATAAGCCTTTCATGTAAAAAGAAAAGTTGACAATGTACAGTAATGTTGTATGATGGCTGAATTCCAAAACAGGAAAAAATTCTGCTTTATTAGTGATTAACGAAACCAAGCTTCACCAGAATTTTTTGAGGCTACTGAAGCATCTACGGACTAGCCAGATATTTCATGACATTTAAGTTGATTTTAACACTTGACAAACAAAGGACGAGGTTATACGGAATGCTCGAAAATCACGAACAAGAATCTAGGAAAAGAATTATATGCTAGACAGGTAGGCTACCTGGAGATTTCAGTTTGAGGTACTTCAGGAAAATAATTAACTGTGGATATATTCCTATTTTGGAGCTTTCCTACTTGACAAGGATAAACCAGAAGAAACAGAAGCCCAACAATACAGTAAAACCTGGTAGGAGTATCGATCAGTTAGACTTAGCACACTACATCAGTAGGGTGAGAAGAAAAAGATTGAGAAAACCAGGAGCATGTTGTGTGAAGTATAACAAAAGGAATGCTATCCAAACATGAGAAATGTAATTCAAATGCAGCAAGTGTAATCGAAGGGCAAAAATTTCGCAACAATCAAAACAAACCGGAACTTGAAAACTCCACAAGGCTTTTGTCAATCTCGAGGCCAAGTACGTGTAGTGAAAGTGAGTCTTAACTTCTATTGAATATTCTTAATGCATAACGCACTACTTGTTACCCATAACTTCTTTTTGCAGATCTTCGTCAACAACAGTGAAACCATGAACTTGTGTGGCGAGCATCAACCTGTTATTAAATACTAGTAAACTAGGATTTCATTTTACTTAAATAAATAGTTCTAACCACGTATCATTTTCTCAACTCGGTCAGCTGAGCTTAAACGTTTGTTTCAAGACAGAATTAAGAGAGAGCATAGGACGAGTTTGGTCCAAAAGCATATGAGTCTGCATGGACTGTGTTAACAGATGCGAACAGTAGACAATTCAGCGATATTAAGGACAAGATTCAGCAGCAGGGAAATGCTGTAATATTCGCCGACAAAAAAACGAGATACTTTTTGACGCGCTTTTCCTCTATTGTCGTGTCTTTGACTTTATTTTCACTTCATGATTTGCTTGGGTTTACAAGGTTACAATACAAATATTATTGGATAAAACTCACGAAAGACAGTCCAGAGGGCTCTATCACGTACAAATGAGGACCATCGTTTTCGTAGGAACCAAGTAAAACTGATACACCAAATGGTCTAACCGCACTATAAAGTGTATGAGCATGCATGTACATAGCCAGTCGTTCTGTTAGAGACTGCAGGAAATATAGCTAAGCAAAAACATACATAGAGGGGTATGCGGCTCCCAAAGCTATTACGATAATTTGCACATTCCTCTCTGGCTGCCTCAACGATGGCTTTAGCATCAGTTTGAAATCCCATCACCACCTCAAATTAATGTATATTACAGATAATAAATTACCATGCCGATATGGTCATCAATGTTGTAAATCCTTTTAACACAACCGGGTTCGTAAAGTTTTGATGTGATAATATTCTCCACAGCAAAAACTACACAGTCTTTACCTTGGATAGCAATCGCCGTACTAAAAAATATGGGTATATTTATATTATTATTTCTTGCCCGCTATTTTCTACCGCCTTGCAAGCATACTCAATCTGAAAAACATTTCCACCACGAGAAAACTGAGAAGCCGTAAGATCATACTAAAAATGTCTTAAAGTATCTGGAAACAAACCCCACTCCCAATTGAAGACATGACTAAGCTACTTAATATCCGTACCAAACGACCTTTCTCAAGGGTACATCCAATATCCAATATCTTTTCTACGAGGTTGTATAAACCAATTCATTTCTTTGCACTCGATGCTTGTTCGTTCGGTACGCTTCCAGGTATTTGCTAGTGTTCAATGGAACGAAGCTAGCCACTTGACTGCACTGAATCCAGCCCGTTAGCTAGAAGCTATCAGTCTATATGTCCCGTGGTTTGAATGAAGACATTTGTTTCAGGACAGTAGGGTTTCTGGATACCAGCATCTATCACATTACCAGACCGGATATCAGTAATTGGCAATGTAGAGAATAATAAGGGTAAAATTCCAATCCTAATAAGAAGATTTCAGAAATGACCAGATAAATAGATAATTCAGTTTGCTAATTGGTAGTGAAGACTATGAGAGAGGACGGAAGTTTAAGCAAGGGAGAGGAAACAAACATATAATATGCGAGATAGATTGGTTAGTGATCTGAGGAGATGGCAACAATAAAGACTAGCAGGTCTCAAGGCACGCATCAGGTACAGCTTTTCCACGAGCCAGCTGATAATGCGTACGTGAGTGTTTATCAAGTCTCTTCTTAAAGCTGTCCACCGAGGGGGATGTTGTCACCTCGGCTGGAAGAGCATTCTAAGTTTCAACGACTCTGAATCAGAAAACGTGTAGACGAACCTGAGTATTCGCTCTCTGATGTTGCAGGCCATAATCAAATCACCTCTGATTCTCCTGTAACTGTGGGATATTGATCCCTGGTGCTGGAGTCTATCTACGTAAGGTTTGTTCTTCAACCCTATCACCCATTATTTAGCACGTCTCTGCACTCGATCCAAGAGATTTATATATCTTTTGAGAGGATGGGTTGCGATGACTTTGTGAACTTGAAGGTGTGGGAGTGCATGTGTTTCAAACAGCGTTAAGAATAATCCTGATATGATAGCAACAAATCGTCGTCGCATAAAGTGAAGAGGTGAATTTGTCTTGGCTGCGTCCCCTATATAGTTCGGACTCATGCGGAGGCTTTCAGTGGCTGTTAAAACCGAGATCGCGCTCTGAGGAGACAGTAGGGCGCGGAATTTGATTGAGGGTGCAAATCGTTTGCGTCATGTGGGGCAGAATATACATGACGTGACATCTCGGCTGGTTTTATTTTCAAACTGTTTTCCACTGCCCATTCCTCAATGCACGTAAGGACATTTTGAAGCTCAGTCGAATCGTCTTCGCTTCTAATGGACACCAGATCTTTGCATCTGGGTAGATCAATGCCAGTAAGCTAACTGAGCCAAACAAATAGGTAATAAACATCAGGAAGAGAAGTGGACCTCTATTCAGTAGGGAGTTGGTGTGATACCAGTGAATGCCTGAACACGTTACATATAGGTGACCAAAGGGCTTCTGTACTTCTGCTTCC